GCTGGCCGTGCCCAACGTGCTGGTGGCGCTGCTGAAGGTGCTGCTGCGGGGAGAGGCGGGGGCTGATTTGGGCCGGGGCGGAGCTGGCGGCGTTGGGGAGGGGAGGGGAGAGGAGAAGGAGAAGGAGAAGGAGAAGAGAGGAATTTTAAGCCGGCTGGTCAGCGGCATGCGGCGGTGTCAGGGTGCGGGGCTGGCGGCGCTGGCCGCGCTGCTGCTTGGTGCGTTGTGTTGGCGGCCGGGGGCGTCTGTGTTGGGGGACTACGTGATATCGCCTAGCCCGAAATTCATCTCTTATCCTCCTGTTTCTTTTTAGTTCTTATTTACCCTGTGTTGCCTTCTCTTCCCTGATACTTTCTTCCCTCCGTTAAGATAATGCTTCCCAGTTTGCTTTTTTTACTCCATGTCTGTACAACTCCGTCTCTCCCTCCTTGCCTCCCTCCCTCCCTCCCTCCATCCATCCCTTCCTCTCTCCTAGATGGTGTATTTTTGTAATTTCGGTCTGATTTTTCCTCAAAACACCTCTCACAGATCCTTGTTTTCAGACAAACAGACTCAGTGAAATTAGCTCTCCATACTTTATTACCAGAACATATCCCATTTAGCTCTGTTCTGTCGTCCTCTCCCATCTCCCCCTGCAAGTCTTTTTCAGAAAAAGAAAACTGATTCTTCTTTTCCCTGTGGCAGGGACTGTGGTCAGAGCCCAGATAGAGCAGGAGCCGTCACTGGAGACAACCGAGGGCACCGGCATCAACATCACCTGCTCACATCCCAAAATCCAAACCAAGGAGTGGATCCAGTGGTACCGACATCTCCCTGGCCGAGCACCCGAACTCCTCGCACTCACTATGAAAGAGTCGAAACAGCTGCCGGACAATCTGGGCCAGCTGTGGGTGTCGGCAGACCGGCGCTGGAGCGCGCTGCGGCTCGGCTGGCCCCGGCGCGGGGACGCGGCCGTGTATTACTGCGCGCTGGGCCACGGGCAGAGGAGCCGGGGCTGCGGCCGGGCACGAACCGGCGCGGGCGGGGCCGGGCGGGGCCAGCAGGGGGCGCTGCCGCTCCGGCCGCCGGGGCCGCCTCGCCCCGCTCGGCCCGGGATCCCGGGGCGCTGCCGCCGCCGGTACCGGCAATGGGACCGGGACCGGTACTGACTCGTAGAGCGACACCAACACTGACACAGGCACCTGCACCGGCCTCGGTACCTTGTGGAGGTGATAATTTTCTGACAAATTCACCTTGAACATGAAACATTCCAGCTGATTCCATAGACTGGGTCTTGGCTTTCTGTATGAAGTCTTATTTTATTTTATTTTATTTTATTTTATTTTATTTTATTTTATTTTATTTTATTTTATTTTATTTTATTTTATTTTATTTTATTTTATTATTTTATTTTATTTTATTTTATGTTTTTTTGTTTTGTTTTGTTTTAATGTGACAGGATGAGAGGACCAAGCATTTATGGATCAAAATAAATCAGTGTGGGCGGAGGACACAGATCACCTGCTGGACAAATCCAGAAAAGGCAAATGATGTCAGTCTGGGCCACTCCTTTGAGGTCCTTATGGCCCTCTTGGCAAGAAGTGGCTGGTTCCTGGGTTAGACCACATCCCACCTAACACTGTATCAGGAAAATTCTGCTGGTTTGTTTTGTCTGCTCCTCTTCTGTATCAGGGAGGTGTCATTGGGAAAAAAGGGGTGCAGGGTCCCTCCCTGATCTCAGAAACATAGATCTGCTAGCAAATGTTATTATAAAGGGGCTGTATTAGTAACACAGAATA